CCACCATGGGGTGAAAAGAGGACTACTCTCCCCTGGTAGGTCTTCAAGCGAGTCAGGACCTGGAGCAACAGCTGAACCGGGGAAAGAGGTACAGGAACCCCCACCTCGACCAGTCCTGCCGAAAGGCATCAACCCCTACGGCCTCGCAGCCGGGGAAGGGCGCCACATACTGAGGAAGGCGCCGCAACCACGCCGACGCGAAGAGGTCCACTTTGGGGCGTCCAAACGTCTTTGCCCCAACGGAAGAAGTCGGCGTCGACCGTCCATTCCGTGGAAAGGGGAACGAAACGAGATAGGCCGTCGGCCAGGATGTTGGACACTCCCCGCAAGTGAACAGCCAGGAGAGCCAAACCCCGAGAACTCGGCTCATGAGTCACCTGAAGCGACCAGTGCCAAGGACCGCATCGAAACCCCCCCCCCGGTTCAGGCAATGAACTGCGGGGGAAGCAGTTTGAATGGAGCCGGATCATTGATCCGCAGGCGACCCGAACCCTCCGCAGAGCAAACTACACCGCTACGAACTCCCGCACCGTGCTGTGGGCTCGACAGAAGGACGGATCCCACCGTCCCTGGCCAGCCTGGTGAGCACTGGTCACAAAGCCCCAGCCGAGAGATGACACGTCCATGAACACCGAGCGAGAGCTCGGACAGGCACTGCCGAGCCAAGGCACTGAACCCCGAAAAACCCGAAAAGGAAGCCGGCGATGCAGCAGCCGACGTCAAGCCAGTCGGGGGAGCCGGTCAGCCTAGCGGACAGCACACTGGACTTGTGATCCTGTGATCCCGGGCGCCGGCGAGAAACAATGGGCAAAGTTTCTTTCACCCTATGCCCCTGTTACCTAACAGTAAAATAGGTACCTGGGTGTTAGTCAGCTGTCATGGGCTGCTTCCTGGGGGTGGAGGCCTGGTCGAGGACCGGACCGCAGGGACTCTAAAGCCCCGAAATCATCTCAAGATAATCTCAAGATAGGCCCCTAGGGGCCAAACCCAGCGATCGCAAGAGAGGCAGAAGGGACGCCGACGAAGCCAAACCCGACCCAGCGGGTAGACCATCATCGCGAAGTTCAGGCTCCTGCACAAACACTCGAGCAACTGCCGGGTGACCCGGGAGCCCCCAGAAACAGGTGCAAGAGGGACCGCAGCCGTAGGAGAGACTCCGGAGGAAGAGACAAGGAAACAATCCAAGAGTCCCACACAAGACCCAGCCACTGCCAAACCTGGAAGGGAACCAGATGGGACTTCCTCCAAATCACCAAGAACCCGAACCCGGTGAGCTGGGAAAGAACCAAATCCCTGGCTAGCAAGACAACAGGACTGGCTAGGAGCCCAAACCAGCCAGTCGTCGAGGTAGGCCAACATCCGAACACCTAAGAGACGCAGACGGGCCACCACAACCTGCGTAAGGCGTGTGAACATGCGAGGTGCCAGATTTAACCCGAACGGGAGACAATGAAAGCGGTAACCTTGACACCCCACAACAAAACTGAGCCAGTCCCTGAACCCCAGATGAATCTGTACGTCCCAATAAGCATCCCAGAGGTCCAGGGACACCATCCAAGAACCCGGCTCCAACAGGAGCCGAACCTGGGACAGTGTAGTCATCCGAAAGGAGGGGAAATGAACCCAGGGGTTCAGACGGGACAAGTCTAGAATGAACTGTAGGTCCGCACAGTCCCGTTTATGAACTGGAAACAGACAGGAAACTCACTTCAGGGACGCCATTGTTTCAACGACGCCCAAGCGAACTCACTCCAAGACGATTCGACGGAACACAGGACAAGAGGCCTGCCCTGCCAGCCCTGAACCCCCGAAGGAGGAGGGGCCACCCAACGCCACCACAGGCCAAAGGAAACGACCAGAAACACCCACAAATCATGGGACCAGGTGTGAGCGAACAGCGCAAGCCTTCCCCAATCGCCCCGTCAATGGGGCAAACCGCGAAAGGGCCGGCGCCCCTCATGAGACCCAGAATCCTGCACAGAGCGAACACCGCGCTGACCAGATGAAGGCAGGTCCGAAGGCGGAGCCGAGCCTGAAACTGGCACGAGCCCTGGGGCCTACCACGACGAGAGGAACCCCGAGCCCTGGCACAACCCCTCCAGCAAGGCCCACCCCGGGACCTCCGGAGAACCAACAAGTCAGACATAGGATGGCAACTGGCCGAAGCAGCCTGAATATACTGCGCCACGGCCGAAGGTGCAAAAAGCAGAGGACAAAAAGGCGAAGACATCTTAAGAGCCAGAGCCCAGGCCAATTCCAAAGAGTAGGCAAGCACCGCCTGCTGACATGTGAGCCGGGAAGCATAAAACTGGGAAACCGCATCCCGCAAGATCGGAGCAAACAGCTTCAACAAGGCAGCCGACGCGCGAGCTGCCGAGCCCAAGACACCAGACCCCAGAACAGCCCCGAGCGCTCCCACATCCTCCCCAAGCCAGTCCGAAGACAGCTCCAGAAGGAAAAAAATGGTGCAAGGCTGAAGCCAAGAGCCCCCCGGGCGCGCAAGTCCTTGGCCACCTGCGCAGCCAAAGGGTAGGGAACCTGCACATGGAGCTGCAGAATGCCAATATCCCAGGAAAGAGCAGGAGCAAACAAGCACTCATTGAGGTGCTCAAGTTTGCCCCCCCCCCCACCAGGAAAACCCTGAACCACCAATGAAGCCTTGTGCCACTCAAGCATGTGGGAACGACAGTAGTAGTGCCAAGCCTCCAAAGCAAAGACAGGATAGTCCGCCAGCCAGGACCACTCCGGAACCTCGTAACGGACCCAGAAAGAGAACAAAGTCCCAAACCTGAAAGACAACGGATCCATCTGGGTCATAATCTGGGTCATGCAGGAGGTAAGCCACCAGAGCCGCCCACATCGCAGACGGTCGGATGTGGGAAGCCGAAAACCTCCAGGAAGACGGAACCGATGCATCTAAATCCGACGCATCCAAACACGGAACTGAATCTGGGAAGAAGCAGACATCAAATCCAACTCGTAAGCAGAGGGACATCAAATCCAACTCTTAAGCAGAGGGAGAAAAAGAGAACCCCCCCTCCTTGTAACACCAAGCCCTGCTCCGAGGGTAGAAAAACCCAGGTGGGGTCCAGCGGGGCCCAAGGTTCCCAAGTCAGCCCCTCCCTAGGCCCAAGATCCCCCTCAACGGGACCCGGCGCAGAGTCGTCTCTCAGAGCACCGGCCTCTAAAGAAAAGGCCGGCGCAGCCAAGAAAGCCGAAGAGAAGGGGGCCCACTGGTCAGACCCAGAGGCTTCGGCATGGAGATCAGACTCGAATACCTCCATCGCTACACCGGAAGAGGCATCCCCAGAGATAGCCCGAGACTCAGGACCCTCTAACCCCGGCCCCGACTTCAAACCCTCGGACGTTTCGGAGCCGGAAGCAGGGGGGTGGGGATGGGACCAGAATGAACCACAACAGGGGAAGGATGAGGGGGGCGTGGACTGAACCAAAGTTGAAGCGACTCCCGTTCCCAAGTCCGGGTCCTTATAGACAAAACGAGGCAGCCTCGGGGCATCGGGGTGAGCAACCAACCTAGCACCTTGCAACAATCTAAAACGCACATGCAACACCTGTGCCGTCTGTACGCATAAAACATCATCAAGAGACTGGGTCCTCATTATCAAGAGACTGCTGGTGACTAAACTGAGTACTAGCAAGCAACAGAACTTGCAGGACTCCGGGTCGAAAGTGTGACCAAGGCAAAAACCGTGAGGGTTACCCTAAGTCAAGGGGACCGAGCAACCCTCGAACTCACACGAAGTGAGGGGAGGCTCGGGGATACAGCCATCGGACCCACGCACCCCCAAGGGGATTCCCAGGGTCCTGAGCGCTTAACGTAACTCCTGCCCAGGTAAACCCAGGCAGGGTAACTGCTAACCGCCATCCACAATTACCGAGCAACTTTCTAAAGCTGGACCTCAGGGACGTGTACACTCACGGAGACCTAGCAGGGGGGTTCCACCCGAAGAACTGTGCACAGGTCAGGCACAAAAAAAAAGCGGGGGAAACAAGGCAGACACACCCCCCCCCCCCACAACGCACCAAACAGAGCAGGGAACAGAGCCAGCCGCTGTGAATGTTGACAACTAGCTGCGCAGTACCCTGTGCCCCGCACCAGTGCAAAACTGCCTCTCACCCTAAGGTAAACAAGGAAGACAATCAGACTGGGGCCTACCACGACGAGAGGAAGCCTCTCACCCTAAGCACCCAAAGGGTAGCCGAAAAACCGAGCAGTAAAACGGCCCAGCAGAGGCAAGTCCCGAGAAACTTGTGGAAGGCAACTCCAAGCTCCAAGGGCAGTACTTACAGGGCATCTAGGGACGATAACCCTAAGCGAATGCAGCCCGAGTACTATAGTTGACTCCTTGCTCTTGCACCCCTGGAAAACAGCCACCACACACAAAGCACAGTGCCGGAATCACTGGAGCCAAGCAGACGACCTCCGCCTCTAGCATCAGCCTTAGAACTGATGGGTAGATAGCCGGCGTGGGGGTTCTGGGGCTCCCACTCCCCCTTCCCCTCCAAGGGAAGGGGGAGCGGCGTAGACAGCGGCACGGCGACTTGTGATGTCATGCTCATTTGCTCGTTTCTTTTAGGGAGTTCTATCCACTTGTTTGGCTTTTGGTAGCAATATTTTCACCAGAATACGGGTTTGTCTTGGGATGCTTACCTTTCTGGGTGCCTGACCTGGTCGATGGCAGACATAGAATGCTTCCAAGCACATGGGGGTGTCTATAGGCCACTGCTCCCCATACCTCTCTGAAGGGCCAGGTTCTGGCTTGTGGTCCCTGGTAGGCCCACAGAACTCCATACACATGACTGATGCCAAAGTCTGACATTAGCATATCGGCCTAGTAAGCTCTGGGGAGCCGAAGGGGAGCCGAAGGGGAGCCGAAGGGGAGCCGAAGGGGAGCCGAAGGGGAGCCGAAGGGGCTTCCCCCCCCCCCAAGATACAAAAATAATAATCAAAATTACATCATTATAATTCTTATACTTACTTTCTTCTGATCAGCTGCGAGTCTGAGTAACATGGCCTCCTGAGATTGTGCTACAGCTTGCTTGACAGATGACGGAAGGCGTAAACTTGGCTTCTCGTAACTGTGAAGTGGAACCTGAACAAAATAAGTAAAATTAAGCAAATAAAATAGAGCCTCATTCCAGGAATTGGTGATATCATACATACCCAAATTACAAAATACAACCTAAATTATTACAAGGTTATTATAGAAAGAATATGCACCATCTTAGATTCCATGTACTGTATGGAAGTCCTAGTACTCGTCTGATTTACAAGTTACCAAGAATCTTTAATATACAAATTTAACATTTGTTTTCCTATAATAGTATGCAATGTACAAAGCATTTAATGATATTCTGTATATAGTGCACTCCTTAAAAATGTGAATACATAAAACCAGCATTGAATGTAATGCCATTTTCTGGATGAAACCCAAAGGCTCCCAGGCATCCTGACATCCCTCCCTCCCTCCCTCCGGTTGGTTGGTGTTTTTTCGCATTTTTTATATTCACCCTCTGAACAGGGATTGGGTAGCTGGCACACAATTTCTGGGGCTCGCCCTTTCCCCTCCCAGGGAGGGGAAAGCTGTGCAGACAGAGCGATGGCTGTAGTAACGTCATGCTTGTTTTCTGATTGGCGAGTTCTGCTTGCTCATTTGGCTTTGGATTTGCAATTTCAAAGCAGATGTAATTTGTTTTGGGATTCCTACCATTCTGGGTGCCAGACCTGGCAGATGGCAGACAAACTGCTTCCAACTACATGGAGGTGTCTATAGGCCATTGTTCCTCGCATCTCTCTGCAGGGGCCAGGTTATGGCTCGTGGTCCCCAGTAGACCTAGAACTCCACCGATTGACTGTTGCCACGGTCTAATATTCAACTCGGTATAGCTCCTGGGAGCCGAAGGAGTTCTCCACAGAAAAGCCACATTATATTTTCTCAAGTAGATAAGTACACATTCTGTACTTTTATATACATGTACAGTGGGACATTGCTCAAACAAATCTTGGTGGGCCAGAACCTGTGGTGGAGCAGAACCCATGGTGGGACAAAAAATTGATTAATAGACAAACTCTTGGAAGGCTGGAATATGGTACAGGGGTTTCCAACTTACAAACATCCAATCTTATGAACAGCTTCACAATTCCCATGTCCTATAATAAATCACTCTGGAGTCCACACTTGACAAGCCATGCTTATAATACATACACAGTACCGAGGAAATATGCACTGTAGCTGAGCATTTCACTACAAATTATTTTTCAGGCATCTTTACATACAGGAATCCTAGCAGATATACAAGAAAGGTAAAAAATTGTTCCAGTCTACAAAAAAATGGTATCCGAGACCCTCTAAATTATAGACTTGCATCATTGACAAGCACTGTAGATAAATCACAAGAAAGATAATTAAAATCAAATGGGTAGAAAACCCTGGAGAGAAATGATGTAATAACTGACAGACAATTTGGTTTTCAGATAGGAGGATTCTGTATAACAAACCTACTTAGTTTCTATGATGGAGCCACAGAGATTTTACAGGAAAGAGATGGTTGGGTTAACTACATTTACCTAGGCCTAAAAGAAGTTTCTGACAGAGTCCCACACAAGAGGTTCTGGAAATGGTAACATACTGGAGGGGTGACAGACTTCTGCCATGGATGAAAAATTGACAAAAATGAAGACAGCAATCAGAGGCAATGTATCAGACTGAAGAAACATTACTAGTGGAGTACCACAGTGTTCAGTTCTTGCACCAATAATGTTCATTGTCTATACAGTATAAATGATCTACCAGAAGGAACACAAAATTATATAAATATATTTGCTGATGATGCTGATAAACTTCTAAGGAAGACAAGAAGTTTAGATGATTGACATACTCTGCAGTAAGACTTGGACAAGATAAGTGAATGGAGCAACACTTGGTAAATGGAATTTAATGGAAAAATTGCCAAGGTAAGGAATGTGAAACAGGAGAAAATAGGCCATACAAAACCTACACATCGAACCCCAGTGAAGGCGAAGACAAATGGGCAAAAGATTTTTCACTCTGATGCTCCTGTTCACTTAGCAGTAAATAGGTACCTGGTAGTTAAACAGCTGCTACGGACTGCTTCCTGGGGGGGGGGGTGTAACAAAAAAAGAAGGCATGGTCGAGGACTGGGCTGCGGGTACTCTAAGCCCCAAAATCATTTCAAGATAACCATCCACCCGAGCTAGAGTCAATACCAAGTAATTTCTCAAATAGCAGATGTCTATCATATTACAGTATATTTTTAGTTTTATATTTAGTTTAGAAATATAATTAGGATAATAAAAGCTGTATTACGGAAAATTATGGAAAAATGAGATAAATGAAAACTGGTTCGATTTCAATCAAACTTTTTTGACTAGTTGTATATAAAATTTGGTTCAACTGGCCCAAGTCTCAGCATCATAGCATAAATAGGAAGGGAGAAAAAATATTGAATTACTGTACAGTGGTACCTCGGAATGCAAGTGTCCCTGTATGCGAGTTTTTCGGAATACGAGCAGGATTTCCTCGGAAAATATGTCTCGGAACGCGAGGGTTACCTCGGGACGTGAGTTTGTTGATACACGTACAGGCCGACCCAGCGTGTGGTGGTTCGGCGATCGTCGCCCCTCCGCCCCTCAGTTTACCATTGTCTCGCGCCCAGTGACTACCCCCACATCAATTCTTCTCGCGGATTTTCAGTGTTTTGTTGGATTTTTGGTGATTTGACTATACAATTTGTTATTATATATCTCACCATGGGTCCCAAGAAAGCCAGTGGTAAGGATAAAGGCCAGAAAGCCCATGTGAGGATGACAATAGAGGAGAAACAAGAGATCATTCGGAAGCATGAGAACGTACACGTGTTGTTGAACTTTGTAGGCAGTACAACAAAGCCACATCAATATGCACTATACTTAAGAAGAAAAATGAGATTATGAGTGCTAAAGTGGCAAAAGGAGTCAGAATAATAACGAAACAAAGACCACAAATACTTGAAGTGGAAAAGTTGTTATTAATTTGGATACACGACAAGGAGTTAAGGGGTGATAGTGTTTCGGAGGCCATTATTTGTGAGAAAGCCAGGGTTTGGACAGATTTGTGGTGAGGAAATCGAGCAGTGAGCCTCAACCAGGACCTAGTGGCACTCAGATGAAACGTCCCAGGGAGAGCACACCAGAAAGGTCCTCACTGCCTGATGTGATAATGGAAGGGGACGCCCCTTCCAAACAGTAACTCCTCTCCTCCTCCCCCCTCCTCACCATCTTCCATACGCCTACAGCATTCAACAGCAAGGTAAGTAATAACTTGAACATAGTTTTGTAGGTTTATTTAGATGAATTAGGTATAAAAATTTAGTTTGATGTGGGGATTTTGGGGTAGTCAGGAACGGATTAATTCATTTCCCTTTATTTCTTATGGGGAAATTAGCTTCGGAATACGAGGCGTCTCCAGGAACCAATTAAACTCTTAAACTGAGGTATGCCTGTGTCTAAAATTTTCCAAAATGGTAAAAAATTAACATCAAACAAAAGTGTCAACTGAAATCATGTTTATGACTAAGCTATCACAATAGCATATAATAAAGTATTTTAATATTTAGTTTTATGCACAAAAAAAAATTAAACATTTTTTTTAGATTTTTTTCATATTTTTTATCAGACGATTTGCACGAAACTTACACACCTTAAAGAACGTAAGCCTATCTGTAATGGGTGAAAATTTTGGAGGAAATCTGCCACAGGTGGCAGAATGTTTAATCTCATTTACAGTATTGTCAAGTAACAAAATTAACTCTCCTCTTTAATTTTTTTTTCAATTTACATGAAATTTACACCTTATATGTAGAGTTAACATCTAATAAACTTATAGAACACTTTATTCCTAAGTTCATTTATTGATTTTATAAATATTTGCAAACATGAAATATTGGCATATATTTTTGGGGAACTTTGACTACTTGTATTAGTAAAACTAAAAATATTTTGGATAATCCTTTTTATACAAATCCTTTATTATATGCTAATGTAATAGACGAGTGTCACAGAAATGATTTCATTTGAAAATAGTGGTTGTAGAGTTTTATTGAAAATGTGTAAAATTCATTGAAAAAAAAAAAATCCCTCTTTCTATTTAGGGTGCGATACTGAAACATAGAACAGTTGCAGCCCTTCTTATATACAACTAGTTAAAACAAAGATTGGTTGATATTAAACAACATTTAAAAATCAGGTAATACGCCCCCTTAAAACCCCCATTTTAGAAATAATTTATTAATCTGAAACTTTCAGTGTCACAAGTCACTGAACTTTGGCGACACATCCGAAGGAAAACCACGCGAGGCTTACAGTATTCCGTCTATCTGTCATCTTTCGTATATTCATATCTCTCATGTTCCATTACAGAAAATGTCTATAAGGAGATTTCACCACATGTAGCTACCTTCTCACACTTCAGCCTTGAAATTCATTTTCAAAGATAGTGGTGCCATAAATCAGTGAACGAAAATCATGTAAACTCAGTCATTCATGTGTTGTGTGGGCCGCTCTGGCTGGTATTTGGTTAATGTGGTTCACTTGTTGTGTGGACCACTTGTTGTGCGGACCACTTGCTGTGTGGTCCACTTGTGTGGTTCAACTTGTCATATGAAGGAATTATTAACTGTAACCTGTAATATAATGGGAAAGTTTTCCACCAGACTGTGAACTCTGTCCCAACATCATAAGCAAATCTGCACATCCCCCACTTCAGTGAACAATAGTTTGTCATAACGGGCGAGTAAAACCGGCCTGAAAAGTGCGCGTCCTAAATGGAGATTCACCAAATTGGGGTTGAACTGTACAGTATACCCATTCAGACAAGGTTTTCACAGTATCAGTCACACACTGAACTTTGGAAACTGACCTATATAACACCTGAAGGTGTCTGGATATGATAAAAGAAAACTGCTTGGGGATTAAGACACAAACAAAGCAACAGGACCAGATGACGTTTCACCTTGGGTACTGAGAGAATGCACTCAAGCTTAGCGATCTATGACATTACTTTCCAGAAATCGTTACAAATGGGAAACATCTCTGATATATGAAAACAAACCTAGTCCCAATATGGTAAGTAAGAGCAGTGACAGAGGAAACCCCTTAAACTACAAACCAGTATCACTGAAAGCCACTAGAAAATGTAACTGAAGCTAAATAGGTTGAATATCTTGAAAGAAATTAAATAATGACAGACAGGGTTGAAATAATGACACACAACCTTTCAAACTGAAAGGTTGTGTGTTATATGACAAAAATTATAAGTTAGACTGACACCATGAGTGTAGCTTTCATCCTGTAACTATACTGTACTTAAGTAATTACATGTACATACAGGCCAAATGTTACATAAAAAAAATTGACCCGAGCCACACTACTCTGGTACCATACCTGATTGAAGAAAGGGTGTGTGAGGAGTCCAGCAACAGTTGGAAGCCCATTCTTGCATGCTTCTGCACTTAGTATACTCTCCAGCACTGACCCTATTAACAAAAGTTGTTTGTACTTTTATTCTTAGGGCTCAATAAATAATTTAAGAATTACAACCAAACACAGTTATAACAAAAATTACTAGCCTATATTAAAATAGTGCACAACTAAGGCTGCTTACAAGAAACCTACACAATTATCAGAATGCAATCCCTTTGGTACGTCCACATAATGTCTTGTGATATTTTTAGTTATGTTTTTAGGTAACTCAAGAATTCAGAAAACAGACTTAATTGTAAATAGAAATGATTAATTCATAATACCCCTAAGGGATGCATTCAAGGTCCCTATTTAATGCATTCTCTTAAAAATTCACAAATTCATGCAGAAAAACAACAAACATTCATACAGCAATTCATTCATAGGATTCATGCACATGTTATCAACCACCATATACAGTATATATATTCAGAAGATGGGAAGAGGAAAAATTTAAGTGTTGAATGTAATGAAACTCTCCATTCTAGGATTTGCCTCAGTAGTTCAAGAGCTTAATAATTAGATATTACTGATCACTAGCCAATATCAGGTACTTATGAAACTGTCATTGCAACTTCTCTTGCTCTCTCTACAATACATGTACTGTAACACATGAGGGTTAAGATTAACTTGAAATTTTGGCAGACTATTCTAAATGTAATGAAAGAAGGGCCACAAGACACTCAAAATCCTTCTGGGAAATAGTCTTGAAAAATGCCAAACAGCCAAAACCCAAATCTGACTACTAATAAAGTAGGCACACGCAATGATTATGTACATTCTTGAATATACTAGAACCTGGATCTTTATCTTGAAACCTGGAACTTCAAGAACAAGAGGTCATATATTTAAGATGCAGAAATATAGCTGCCAAAAAAATTTAGAAAGTTTACTTTTGCAAACAAAGTAATTACCTAAGTGTAGTTACAGGATGAGAGCTACGCTCGTGGTGTCCCGTCTTCCCGGTACTCTGTCGTATAACGCTTTGAAACTACTGATGGTTTTGGCCTCCACCACCTTCTCATTTAGCTTGTTCCAACCATCTACCACTGTTTGCAAAACAAAACTTTATAATATTTTTTCAGATCCTTTGTTTCCTTAGCTTGAATCTGTGTCCTCTTGTTCATGAAGTAGCCTGTTCCAGGAAGTTCTCTTGTCAATTTGGTCAATTCCTGTTAGTATTTTGTAAGTGGTGATCATATCACCTTTTTTTAACCTATCTTCTACTTTTGGGATGTTTAATGCTTCTAGTCTCTCCTTGTAACTCATGTTTCTCAGTTCTGAAAGTCATTTTTAGCATGCTGTTACACCTTTTATGGTTTCCTTGTGTGAATAGTTTCTTTAGTATTTCACCATTCATATAATTAAAAGCAAATCTGAATTTGGAAAGTTACGCATATGCTCCTTTCACAATGTTCTTATGTGTTCCGCTGGTGACAGCTTGCTATCCAAAACCACCCCAAGATCTCAATCTTTATTAGAGTTCTGTAATTCCTATCCACATAATTTGTAAGTTGTGTGTGGTCTATTATCTCCAATTCCACATTTCATAACATGGCATTTATTCACATTGATTTCCATTTGCCACTTGACACTCCAAGCACTTATTTTATCTAGATCATTTTGAAGGGCATGACAATTGTCTGCATCTTCTATCTTTCTCATTATCTTAGCATCATCCATAAACATATTTATATCATTCTGTATTCCTTCTGGTAGATCATTTATGTAGATGATGAACTTTACTGGTGCAAGAACTGAACCCAGTGGTACTCCACTGGTAACACTCCTCCAGTCAGATACATTGTCTCAGATTACCACCCTCAAATGTCGGTCAGAAAATTTTTCATCCATGTCAGTAGTCTCCCTGTCACCCCTCCAGCATGTTCCAGTTTCCAGAACAGCCTCTTATGTGGGACTCCCTCTGGTCGGCGGTTTTAATTCACTCAAGAACTGGAGAGGTGGGCTGCCGGCTCCTCTATTCCCACCCCTTGGGGGTAGTGCTAACGAGTGGAAGTACTAGTCGCATGAAGGGTTGTTTGTTTGATTTTTTTTTAGGGGAGTTATTTTGATCTTTAGGGATTGCACAGGTTAACCAGACAGTGGTTTGTTTTGATTCGCCTACCTTTCTGGGTCCTTCCCCAGTCGATGACAATTATGACACAGTTTAAATGTAAAGTACTCATAGGTCATTTCTCCCTGCACCTCTCTGAGGGGGGCCAGGTTCTGGCTCGTGGTCCCCGGTAGGCATAAGGACTCCTGTGACTGATGACCCCAAACTAATATAGCACTATATCAGTTTGGATAGCTTCAAGAAGCCAACAGGGTTCCCCACAGAAAAAAAATAGAACCAGAAACCCCAAAGCATGCAAAACAAGAGGGGGTTCAAGATCATACAGCCCGAGATTAAGGTACTGTATACAGTACATCCCAGTGGCAGAGAGGCAAACAGCCCGTACTACTAATACTATGGGGCCCCTCCTAGAAATCAACCATTAATTGTAATGGAGGCCCTTTCCTTGTGGGCCTCTCAGTAGCTCTCCATTCCCTTTTCAGTGGGATTTTGCGGTTCTATTCTGATGCTCACGGGTGAAGTGCATGGCTGGCCAGGAATTTCGGGTGACCTGGGCTGCCATTTCCTACCACCTGCACCACACTAGAATAGTTTCCTCTAGCGACAATTGTTTATCTCTGGGTTACAAGTTTCCTTTAAGAAGTTGCTTGTTTTGTTGTGCCCAATCTTACTGATGGGGGTTTTCTTGGTTTTGTGTAGATCTCTGATTCCCCAGGATTCTCTTACCTAATAGAGTCAGTCCCAGTAGGTCAATATGGGTTTCAGAGGCCTGGTTACACCTGTGCTTAAGCTCAAGGAGCTACCAAGAGGCCCATTAGAAAAGGAAGTTCTATTACATTCACCTCTTAATTTTTATATTAAAATCTGAATAGCAATAACTAAAGTGAATGAATGCATCCTACTTCACTGAAATTATCTTCAAGTGAGGAACTACAGTATAATAAATATACTTTTTATCCAAGCATTATTTTTAAATTTATTTATTACTTATGGCACAAGTAAAAGAAAACTTTAATTTAAATATTTTAACAAACATTTTTTCATTAGCAAACTTACTTGACAGAGCTGGGCTCTCTGGAGGAAATTCAGGACAAGTGTTGGTTGCAAGACGTTTTTTGAACACCATTTCATACAACACGTGTCCAAAGCAGTACACATCAATTGCTTCCATCGAGTTGATTTTCCGATGATGAACCATTTGAGATCTCAACTGATTTGGTAGCCCAACAACCTGGTTTTCTAGGTCCAGCAGGCGACATACATTATTATCTATAACCAAATTTCCCGTATGGAGATGACCTACAGAAAAGAGAAACGTACAGATCACGGTACGATATAAATGATTTCAGTATTATGGGCAAGTCTCATTTCCTTTCCTTTTCATTATTGTCCCTACTTAGTTGGTTAGTATCTTGTGAGGAGACAACCTTGTAAAGGTATTACAGTATAAAGTGTTGTAACTGATGGTCGCTCAAGCCATATTTCAAGCTTTACTCCATACGGTGTTGCTTCCAAAATTGTACAGAGAAGCTTAGCTTTCCTATAATAAAGCATTACAGTACATCAGAAAATGTATTAAAATACCAAAAGGCCTATAAAATGAGGCCCTTCTTAAATACTATTAAACAATAGAAGATTAGAATAGGTTAATATATTCACAAAATTTTTTTTAATTTATAAAGAAAAATGAAATTCACATTAAAAGGCAGAATAGAAAATTACACTTAAACAATTAGTGTTGGCTACTAAGGTGAGATTAAATGGAGGATTGTGAGAGGTCTTAACCACTGTGCTGCTCACCTTCCAAATACGGCATCTTCCAAATTCCTGTGTGCAGGAAATAAATTCCTGGATTTTTTTTGTTTTGAAAGTGTTAAAAACCCTTCCCTGAGTATGGATATGTGAACAAAAAATAAAAAATGTACTTACTTTGGTCGCAATGGGGTCCGTAATTTTGTGCGTGACGTCATCATTCCCTGGTCGCCCGTGGCGTACGTTTTCAGGGCCAGTAGGGCACTAGGTTCAAGATGCGCCAGTTGCCACGAATATATTTTTGTTCATTTTTTGCGCACAATTCCAAATATATTTTTTTATATTTTCCGTGCCAATCTTATGTATAATGAACACGTACACTATATTATGGCAGTAGAACATCCGTACTGTCTGAAGACACTGTGTTGCGTGCATCACACATATATTTCCAATGTATCATGCTAATTTATGTGTATATATAATTTATTTACATACTATATATACACACCATAAACACACTCAGAACTCCGCGAGTGTGTGATACGCTGCGAAACAGCCAACGGGGCATAGTGGAACCTTGCACCAGGTGCTGATGAATCTTCGCTTTTGTTCTCTTCGGGGTAGTGTTCTTGCATACTATACAGGCACGTTTACTCTTATCCTGTAATGCTGTTCCTGGCATATACTCGAGCATGTGGACACCGAACATTTTGTTACCCCTCAGTCTGTCTGGAGCTGCATGTGGCAATGGTGCTTGCACCCTGCGTGGAGCAACAGAGCCCTCCTTGCCATACTTTATGAGCAGTTGTGACAACAGCAACACTGAATGTCCATATTGGCAGTCTCCTGCCAGATTTTACCAGATACATATTGAAGCAGTTGAGCACTGCAACATCTATTAGGCGGAAAAAGAACTTTTTCGTCCACTTCACAGACTTCCGCACACATTCGATGGCACCGAGCATTATGTCACATTCATCTACAAGGCGCATGTTAACGTTGTAGTCTATGACACAGTCTGGTTTATATATGGGGAAGCGCGTTTGAAAGTGGACTTTGCTACTGTCCAACATGGCACCGGTGTGAATCGTAGTCAGCATATTCACCTCGCGTCTGTCCCTCCACCGCACTGAGAGCATATTGTCACACTTGCACAGCTGGCAATCACCCACTGTTATACCTCTGCCAAACACTGGCATTTCCTTCCTGTGGGCCTTCACAGTGCCACATACACGGGTGTTGTAGGCAAGGAGGTATCTGGTCAACAAGGGGCTGGTGTAATAGTTGTTAGTGAACAGTCTATGCCCTTTGTTCAGCAAGGGTTTCATCAGGGTTTTGACGACACTGCCGGAGAACTCGTGTTCATCTTGTGCTAGTATGTCTATGTCTGTACCAGAATACAGAATCATGTCCATGAGGATACCAGCCTCACAATCGCACAACATGAAAAACTTGAGTCCAAATCAGTGGTGCTTTGATGGGATGTAGTGCTTGAATGCCGGTCGCACCTTGAACAATACAAGAGATTCATTGATTACCACATTCTGTACAGGTACAAAATAATCGTGGAACTTGCCCCTCATGTTACTGAACACCTTCCGTACCTTCCACAGTCTGTTGTATCTGTCCTCATTTGCATTATTTTCGGAATGCAGGCACCTGAGCAGCAACAGGAACTTATCACGCAACACATACCTGTTGAACACGGGCGATGGAACATGGCCGTCTTTGCTCCAATAATCCTGGATAGCGTGTTTCTTGGAGTGCTTCATCATCATCATGCTCAGTGCGAGAAACACGTACATTTCGACAATTGTGGTGTCCTTCCATCGCGTGAGGCATGAGGCAGGTAAAATGCCGGCGTCTATGAGGCCGTGAGCGTATCTGTTTTGCCTCGGTCACAAGATGGTTCAAGAATTCGTTGTCGAAATACGCCAGGAAATAGTATATTTCTGCCATATCCCGGTATTTGTGGAACAAATGTGGCATAATCCTCCCACACAAGTACACCCGGGGATTTGGTTTTGGCACCAATATCACAGCCAACACCACCACGAGCACCTAAAACATGGCTACGTTGTCTGGTGCTGGAGCTGCGTGAGGGTATGGTAGGAGATGAGGCTGATTTACGTATCGTAGACCTACCACGAACACCTGATGTAGAAGGGCCACTGTCGTCATTTATCCTGTTGCTGTGAGACATGCTGCTGCCTGCCGCAATGTGTTGCTGAGGCAGCAAAACAAAGCCTGGCAACACCCTTGCTGCTCATACTCGGGTCGTCCACACTACTTGTATCGGAGCCTATGTCACTGAAGACAGAGAAAGATTCATCAAAAGTACTATCACTGAATAAACTTGCATCAGGGGACACACACGGTGGTGGTGGTGATGATAACAGTGTTGACTCAGGGCGGCGGTGAGGCAGGCCAAGCGAGGCACGTGTACTGTACACACTTGCGACATCATCCACCTCAGTCTCTCTCCCTCACTCGTATCAGACCTCTGTATAAGGTCTTTCTCTGGATCATAGTCTAAGTCATCATCCATAGCACCGTCATCATACAAAATGTCGCGTATCTCCTCCTCAGAGTCGTTTTCCATGACCGCGGGTGACCGCGGAGTAGGAACTCGTAGATGATGCGTCAAACGTGGTTGCTGCTTGAAACTGAGGCTTCCCCCAGCCGCAGGGCATGCTGGGATTTTTTTCAAGATGGCGGACGATCACTGGGGCCCCCAGGCATCCATTTTGTACCCGCGTCACCGCGCACCAGTTTTGAATGGAACGTGAAAAATAAAAATTCCCCCCCCCCCGGCAAACACCTTCAGGCGCATTGCACAGTTCAATGGTTAAGAGATAATAAAATACATGGGAGAATCGAGAACTAGAGAATAAAGTAGAGAACTTTATGCTCAATGGATGCGTGGAGATGATATGCAAGGGAAGACAAAAAAAGCAAATCTATATACAGCTATAAAAAAAAATAGAGCAGTGATTAATTAAATATTGCTTTCTGAGCAGCACATTAGTAGCTCCTAGTTTTTGGCACTGGTCTCAGCGGGACACTGCAAACATGTCAGGCTTCTAGGTGACTTTACACCCTGTGAAAAGAAGCAAATTGCCCTATCATCTAATTCACAGGTAGGGAGCTCTTTGAAGAGTATACCTCATTCCGCTACCAAGAGAAATTGCTTGCAATACTGTTATTATCAAGAAGTATTCTAAACTACCATAGTACCTTGTAATTAACCACCCCCAGACATCATTGGCTGGCAGTCTTACTGACAAGAGGGGTCAGGGAAGGTGGACATTCTCCCCATTCTTCCTCAGTGAACTTAGGAAGATGGGAATTAAAGTACAGGACTGGGGGCTACCGAGATGCACTCAGAAAGAGCATTTTTTTTTTTTTTTTTTTTTTTTTTTTTTTTTTTTTTTTTTTTTTTACATACGACTGTTTGAGCACAGCCACCTTGGTAAAGACTATATTTTCCAAACAAATGGGTCTAATAGGAGAGAAATACCGACTCCCAAAGGCCTGCAAGTGCCAGTATAATAAGTTATGATTTGTTCAGATCGGAAACCTATGTTTATGGGCAGCACAAAACATGGACCAGACTGTGTGACACGGTTGCCAGGATCAGGTTGAGTTACCGTTCCCTGTGGCAGGTGGCTACAATTGACAGATCTCCCAATCCTGAGCACTCCAGGTGCAAACTCTGTGAGCAGGAACTGGGGCATGATCTCGCACACACACTACATCACCAAATGCCCAGTTATCAGACCCGTTGGCATGAGGTACCTGGAGCTTAGCAATTACTTTATTAACTGTTGTGTTCTTGTGGATATCCTCAATGCACCCAAAATTTGCCAGTGCAGGCTACTTATCACAAACCTCTGTATGACTAACCATCCTGCATGGTGTGGAGTTTTAGCACCACGTAGTTAGTTCTAGACACACATACTATACTCCCCTTCATATAGTCTTAGGTAGCTGCACAAATGCAGATTTACCTAAATGTGTTATAAAAAAAAAAAAAAATTGGCAGCTTTCCTAGTCTCCTCCTCACAATGTACAGTACTACTGTATAACAAAATGGGAAGAAAAAATTGGTTTATTTACCTAAGAAAATCAATAAATAGTAGAGACAGGCCTGGAGAGAAAGCAATTGAATATGTTTAGCCAAAGTAATGTTTCTTAAAGCAACACATGAACAGTGAGGCCATAGGAGGTCTTGGAAGTAACTGGTACCTTCGATCAGACCTGAAAACCCAAGCCTGAATGCCAGCTATGAATATAGCTAAAAAGAAGGAAGATACAGAAGGATACTTACTCAAATCATGAACATGAGAGCAGGCTTTAGACTGACTGAGCTTCTCCGCCCATTGAATCACAAGGGGAACACAATCCTTGGAGCAGGGTAACATCGCACAAGGATTAATATGTAGAACAGCAGAAGAATACCAAACAAGCTCAAAGGAGATATCTCTGAAGGTTGTTGGTCATCACTATCAGTGTCAGGAAAAGTATTCTTGAGACAAAACCAAAGT